ACACACACACACACACACACACACACTCTGTCACTCACTCATACAGTCATAATACTGAAACAGAGATTCCACACACAAAAAAATCTATCTACGAATGCACTGTACACCACTTTTTAAAAATTATATTCTATTTGATTTTTCAGTTACTGGTTTTGACCCACTAAGTTGATTTTTAAGACCTAATGGTTTACCATCTAAAACACAGAAACCTAGCTTACTCAATAGTTTTGAGACTGCTGATAGATACTAAGTCCATGGAACAAGTAAAGCTGTTTATAAACAGTGAAATGCCTACCACATGAGAGATTTTACATGCCCGTTTAGAGGTAGACCAGGATACTCAGTAGAATTCAAGATCATTTTAATGGGAGATTCCTAAACAGTAGTGTGAAGGGAGTAGGGCATCACTCTCTAGCTGTACCGTCTACTATAAATTGAAAAGAAAAGAATGAGTCTGAAATGCTTACTCTCTTATCTGTCTCTGGCTTTGCCCCCACCCCTTTTCATACTGTGTGTGTGTGTGTGCACGCGTGTGTGTGTGTGCACGCATGACTTAACCATATTTTCTTTTTGCAATATCTAAGGTCAAACCTTCCATCATATGTGACACCGTTAATTAACTACCCTGTTGGGTGTGACTATTGTTTTAGATTTCAGCTACCAATAATTAAGGGTCTGGGACTACATAAAGCCTTCTTACTCTGCTCCCATGATAATGGATGCTCCCATGCATCTTCCGTTTCCATTGCCTTCATCTCAGTAGTGTAATGGTTGCAGCAAAAATAGGTACTCTGTGAGGGTAACAAAGGATAAGAATCATGTCCCATTCATTTTTGTTTCTCCTGAATTCAGCTGAAAGCCTGGGAGGTAGCGTGTGCTCAATAATTATTGAGAAATTATTTATTGAGAAATCTGCCTTTTAGGGAAATAGTTTTAATTTTAATTTTTTGGACTTTTTTGTGACTACTCCCTACCTGCAGAATAGGACAGGCTGGACTACATATGTATACTCATTTGTTTACCAAATACAACTCTATCCCCACCATATGCTTAGCCTGGCGATAGTAAAAGATCTGCCTGAGTCCTTAATATCTACTTGAAATGGATCAAAGAATTAGTCATGTGTGGTCCATATGTGAGATCTACATCCAAACACATGGTAGAATTCACTGCTTAATCCACTCTGCATCTTATTCATCACCTGAATTCATCGGCCACCCTCAGCAGAAGTTTTCTCATTGATCCCATCCATAAGCAAGTCAGCGTTTGCTTGAAGAAATCAGTATCACATTAGGATTCAAGTTTAAGGATAGTTCTTTCCCTCATCTTCTCTCATGATCCTTTCAACATGTCCCTTAAATGTCTTAAACTTAAATGTCTAAACTTTAAGTAAGGATTTATAGTTTATAAAAGCCAGTCATGTAGATAATCTCAATTAATCCTCACAACAATTCTGTGAGGTAAGGGGGATCCTACAGGTTTAGAGTGACCCTGTCCTGCTTTTCTCTTCCTGGTCTTTAATTCCAGTCATTCATTTTGGCAAAGTACAGCTTTGTTCCCGGTACTGTTCCAGGGCTGGTTAGTATTCACAGATCGCTGGATAATCTCAACACTGGCCAGTATCTGACATCAGCCAGAACTTATTCCTGACAGTGTTCCATAAAAGTATGAGTGTTAATTTATATTTCCTTCCCATCCATATAGCCCTGATCCTACTTTTGAATCTAGCCAGTTGGTATTGATCATCTCTACTGTAATGTGCTAAAATACAGTACTTAGTGATAATGTTCAGAGCAATGATACAATCCTTGTGGGGTTTTTATATCTAGGAAAACATGTTAGAGAAAAGGAATATTCATGTACATTTTATTGTGGGTTTATTTCATAAGAGAGAGTGAGGATTGGGAGAGATTTGGGTAAAAGAGCCCTCTAAGAAGATGCAAAGGGGCAGGAAGTGTGGGAGAAAGCACTAAAAACAGAGCTGTCAAATTCCACTGAGCCATCAAGGGAATCAGTTAAGTGCTGGTGAATAGAATGCTTTTTTCCTATACAAAATGCCCTGGTACTGACCCCGTCCTGGCTGAAATTTAATACACTCTGTATTTGCCAATTTGGGGGGCTATTTCTACCAGTTTTGAACTATGAGTCAGCTTTGGCTGAAAACTTTAGACATAGTGATTCTGAATTGATTAAGACAGTGTCTGAGATTGTCATGCCCTAAACGGACTTGTCATCACCCACTGGGAGATGGACGCCCCTGCATAATGCTAGGTTCTTGATAGTCCGTGTGTGGAGATGGCATTACTTTGCAGTGGCCATTGGAGTGATTTATAAATAGGCTGTCAACCTGTAATGATCAAGTTTAACAATCTGCTTCAAACTTAGTTCTCAGCCCTGTAGCTAACAGTGGGAATTGCCCTTTCACATTGGAGTGGCTAGTTAAAAGGATAAAACAAGTGGCCAGGTTGCTGGTTTAAAAAGAGTCAAACAGCTGTCAGAACTCTGCATTTCTTTGGCTTCACAGACTTTTTAAAACTGCATTTTGCAGAGACAGTAATGGAAAGAAGTAAAAGTCTAGTCAACTCTTCTTATTTGACCAACTATTCTCCATATCCCTAAAAGTTGACTCCATTGGCTTTAGGTCTCACTCCTTTGAAGAAGCCCTACGGTCGGTCCTTCCTGACACCCTTAGGAACTGCATGCAGACAAAACCCTGTCCATGCTCTCAATAAATGTAAAAACTCGATCCAGCCCATCACACTGCCTGTCAGAAGGAGGCCTTATACATTTGTATAAGACCCTGAGGTGGATTGATCATGAAGCTAATGAAGATTACGCTTTAGGACGTCAAGTCTCTGCATTTAATTTGTTATTTGCAATTCCTCAGTATTTTGCTTAAAGAAGTCCCCCAGGTTGTGTTTCTGCTATGTCTGGGATTCATTACCCTGATGAGCCATCCCCATTGATCCAGAAACCATCTCTGGAAGAGGATAGCTAAAGAAATTAATAGGAAAGATGATATTTCTCAGAATTTTTTGTGGGATCCCAAAAGATACACTTCTTCCATTATCATCTATCTCCCTTTCCTTTGAAGACATCATGGTAAGCACAAGATGAATAGTCAAGCTGGTTACAAAGATTCTGAGTGGTTTAAGAAAGCTGACCTTGGGGGCAATGGCTTCAAAGGTGGTGTTATATAACTTAAATTCTTTTCTTTTCATTGTGAAGCACCAAAAGGCTCAGTTTTGTTTGGGCTTTGTTTTTGTTTTTTTTTAGAGAAAGCCAATGATCAACAGTAGCTTATTAAATTTGAAAACAGCATAATCAATGGCGCATTTTTAAAAAGCAGTGTGGCTGGGTGTTCTTATCTACCTTCAGATATGTAAAATAGGCGAGGAGTGCTTTGATTTCCAAAGACAAGGCATTTGCTCTTAAAAGTCTATGAATCCAAGGAGACTTTCAAATTATTTTAAGGACCCCTTGCGTGAAATTTGCAATACATTTCTGAAATATGCCGCTGTCACAGCTGCCCTCTGCTGAAGCTTGGGTTCCAATCTGTGCCTCTCCAGCAGTCTGTGCCACCACTGCTGCCAGGTGGCATCGGCTTCCTCACAGCGTCCTCTTCCAGTCTGCCAGGAGGGAATAAAGCCGCATCTCACTGGGAAACTTCCACTGGTAGCTAGGAAGAAATCTGTCTGCAGAGACAAGATGGCAAGCATCCTTGGAAATGTGAATTATTGCTGTCATCAGCACATTGCATCCCTCTCGTATCGAACCTTTGACATTGAAAGTTTGCTTATATGTAGTTACAATGTTTGTAATTTGCCTTG